TACCTCTATAAAAGCCAAAGTTTTAGGAGTTTGCTGGTCTTGAGCATTGAGGTGTGTGTTAGCACAATGCCAAAGGATAAAAACATCAGCAATGATCTTAGAGAAGCAATTGTTGCTGCCCATCAATCTGGGAAGGGTTATAAGGCCATTTCCAGACAATTAGAAGTCCATCATTCTACAGTGAGGAAGATTATTCACAAGTGGAAAACATTTAAGACAGTTGCCAATCTTCCCAGGAGTGGGCATCCTAGCAAATTCACCCCAAGGTCAGACTGTGCAATGCTCAGAGAAATTGCAAAAAATCTGTTACATCTCAGACTCTACAGGCCTCAGTTAGCATGTTCAATGTTAAAGTTCATGAGAGTACAATTAGAAAAAGACTGAGTAAGTATGGTTGTTTGGAAGGGTTGCCAGGAGAAATCCTCTTCTCTCTAAAAAGAACATGGCAGTACAGCTTAGGTTTTTGCAAAGTTGCATCTGAACAAATCACAAGACTTCTGGAACACTGACCTTTGGACAGACGAGACCAAAGTAGAGATGTTTGGCCATAATGCACAGTGTCATGTTTGGTGAAAACCAAACAGCATATCAGCACAAGCATCTCATACCAACTGTCAAGCACGGTGGTGGAGGGGTGATGATTTGGCCTTGTTTTGCAGCCACAGGACCTAGGCACCTTGCATTCGTTGAGTCAACCATGAACTCCTCTGTATACCAAAGTATTCTAGAGTCAAATGTGAGGCCATCTGTCCAACAGCTAAGGCTTGGCTGACACTGGGTTGTGCAACAGGACAATGATCCCAAGCACAGCAGGAAATCTACAACAGAATGGCTGAAAAAGAAAAGAATCAAGGTGTTGCAATGGCCCAGTCAAAGGGCAGACCTCAACCGATTGAAATACTGGGCAGGACCTCAAGAGTGGGCCAAAGTTCCTCCACAATGATGTGAGAGACTGATAAAGTCATACAGAAAATGATTACTTCAAGTTATTACTGCTAAAGGTGGTTCTACAAGCTACTGGATCATAAGGTGTACTTAGTTTTTCATACATGGCTTCTCCATTTTGGCTTTTTGTAAAATAAATGATGACATGGTGTAATATGTCATGTGTTGTTGTTCGTCTGAGGTTGTATTTACCTACTTTTGAGAACTGATAAGGACCAGATGATTTTTGTTATGTCCTGATATGTAAACCCATAGAATTCAAAGAGTGTACTTTCTTTTTCACACGACTGTATATATGGTGATAGGATATCAGATGTGTTATTAAGCATCCTTGAGCCTAACAGTCTAAGTGCTTCAGCTCATTGGCTCCCGAACACTTGAAGGATATCCAGGGAATAAGTACTAGGCTGGTGGTTCAGGCAACACTCTGGATTTACATATAAAAGGCCCACAATTATTAGACATAAAACTTGTATTTCAAAATAACCAGGTAGCATAATAAGTATAATAAATAAAGACAACAAGTTTGGTGTAGTGGTTAAGGTACTTGGCTAGAAACCGAGACTGGGAGTTCTAGTCCTGCCTTGGGCACAAAGCCAGCTTGGGTGACCTTAGGCCAGGCACTCTCTCTCAACCCTAGGAAGCAGGCAATGGCAAACCACTTCTGAAATCTTGCCAAGAAAACAGGGATTAGTCCAGGGAGTTACCAAGAGTCAACAATGCCTTGAAGACACCAAAATAATAACAATAGCAATAACAACAATAATAAAAATAAACAATAATACATAAAATAGCAGTTTGCTCCGCTTTCAGGATATCCCAAATCCCTGAGACAGTCACTTCATATTGCATAAGGATAGGACTGGTCCTAGGCAAAACATATCCCTTTCTTGCTTTCAGCACAGTGATATTGTCTTGCTCATAATTCTTTTAAGATTTACATATCACATTCCAGTAGTTTATAACAAACTGGCCTTTTAGGCCACAATATGTGTGTCCAAGTAAGCCAGGGAGACTTGCTTAAGTAAACCAAGTGTTTTATTTTAAGAAAAGTAAGTCACATAAACAGAAAAAGAAAATTCAGAACATTTTATTCACTGCACAGTGGTCTTTCCACTCCAACTAAGCATTCACAGGGTGACTTTTAGAAGTAAATTGCCTATCAAGCTGATTAGCAAAAAAGAAAAATGGGGCTCAAAAACTTAGCTGCTAGCTTCTGTGAGTACAGGACTTTTAAGGCTTTGAATAACAGAATTGGAGAATAAAGAAGATGCCAACACTTGGTCAAAACAGCTATGTGGTAATCTAGCGTCATTCAATATTCAGTTGGTACAACAATTCCGTTGATGGGACTTGAGGAATTCAAACACATTTCCTTGGGTTCAGGATAAATAGAGAGTGTTATAAATAAATAACTGAAAACTGATAAATCCTGAAGTGTGGATTGGATTACCCATACCTTCCTCTCCCCAGACATGACAATGATACTAAGAGGAGAGGGGAAACTTATTCGTCAACATTGACCTTTTCTGGGAAGATACTCTCTCCCCCAATCAGCAAAGCAAAACAGATTAGTTGCCTGAACATTTATACCTGGCATAGTAACTGACATATAGGATCAGCCCCCATCCTACCATGAACATGATATTGTGATTATTGAAAAATACAATACTTATTTGTTTAATTTTGTTTCTATTATACTGAAACACAGTTGCTCCTGGTTATAAAATATAGCCTGATGCTCTCCAGAGCAATGATGTACAAATGCAGGAAATTACCAATCAACAGGGACTGGGTACTGTCCTTTCTTTTTCTGCTCACCAGATTGGTGGTGGAAGGGGAAAAGATGGAAGTTGTGATGAAAAGTACCCTGCATTTATATAGAGACGGGAATAACATATGGATTCCCGTAAAATTTCATGGATGAAGAAAGTTGATTGCATAATTTGAAGCATCCATTTGGATCCTATGCATGTTGGAATGTTGATTATCTTTCACTTTGGCTTTTGCTGTTTGAGTACTAGAAATGTTAGGAAATAGACATAATTTCTGTGTCTAGAAAAATATTTACCAGGCACAGAATACCGACCACGTGAAAGGAAAGCAAATCATGAAGAGCAAGTTCATGGTGCAGTGGAGGTGGGGTGTGGAGAGTCTTTCTCATACCATCTTCCAAAAAGAGCCATAGACAAGAGTGGCTTTGACAGGCCTTTCTCACTTATTATCCGTCCATCAGGCAAAACCTGGAGATAAAAAAGTATAGGTCTAAAAATCACATGTGCAAAAGCTCTGTTATAGGAGAAGGAATGTGTCTGAGAATACAAAGAACTCAATCACTGAAAATCAAGTACAGCAGCTTCCAATTAGTTGGGGTTTTTTTGATGTGTGTGTGTGTTTTGCCTTCTGCAGCTTGTCATCTGAGTTGCAAAACAATCCATTTTCATCAGCATCTACTGGCCTGTTCCAAATAAAGAGAGCACCTGATAACTCACTGATCTTGGAGGGGAAATTGCCTTGTTTGTTTGTTTGCTTGGAACAAAATGTGCCTCTATGGTTCACATCCCAGCACCCTTTGCAGCCAGAACCACAGGTGATATTTAGCAGAGTCCTTTTGTCACACATTGTTAGCGTGTACTGGAGAAGGATTAGAACTCAGCTCAAATAGGAAACCAGCCTTGAGGTACCGGGATTTACTCTTTGATTCTCACTATAGACCAACACTATAGCATGGACCCCCGATGGCTAGCATAACAGAAGTTTCCTCTAGCAAGACACTGTCAAACAGTCTCTTTATTATAAGCTTAGAAATTAAGAGCATTGGGACTCAATCTGCCTTTCGTGGCTGAATACTTCAGTATACAACCATATAGGACCTGCATGGCCTACAGGCTAATCTGGTCCAGTTTAGACTGACTTAGGTGAAGCCCTCATCCCTTCCAGGACCAGTTACCTTAGAAAATATACAAATAAAATTTCTAAAAAACATCTTCCAAGTTACCCACTGTATTCCAAATGCTGTACTTCGATGGGAAGCAGGAGTCAGCAAACTCGAATCCAACCTCTGGATAAATATCTTTACCTACTGGTTAAAATTACATCACAACCCCAGTGGACTGACCCATCTAATACTGGCAGATAGCTTCAAATCCTCTTGGGAAATAGCCATTCAAAAGAAACTAAGTCTTTATGGTTTCTCCAGTGATGCCATTTTAACCTTAGAGTTAGAACAAGCCAGATTAACGTTAAGACAAAGGATCTTAGATACAGAAGGTCAAATAGAAACTCCTGCTTTTTCTCACAATATAATTGCTCATAACCAAATCTTAGCACCCAAACCAGTTTTGTACCTATATCATATTACAGTCCCCAAATTCAGGAGAGCTTATCTCTAGCCCAATTAAATGTCCTCCCCACAGCTGTTTTGGAAGGGAAGTATAGGAAAAGCCCATACAAAACCCAGCATTGCCCCCGTGACATGGGTGCTATAGAAACCATAACCCATGTTCTTTTGAATTGTCAGTTCTACAGGGATATTCACCAGCAGCTGATCACCCCCCTTTTATTTATATTTCCAGGGCACTCTGATAATTTTTATTTGCATTATCTGTTAAACAACCAAGATAAATATATTTCTCTAAAAGTAGCAACATTCTGCTACTTTTGCGTAAGCTTTGCCCACACATGGTTGCTAACAGTTATTGATGTCAGAGAATAATTTTGTTTTGTTTGTTTTACAGAACATATTTTTATTGGTTAATGACCAAAATAAAGTTTCTGTCTGTCTGTCTGTCTCACCCCCTCCAGCAAAGGCCCTTCCTCACCTACCCCTGTTGGTTGTCCTGTGGTTACTTGCTCGTATAATAGGTGCAAGTCTTCTTCACTGGGGGAGAATTGTACATTGGATAACCCACATGACGGATTCCTTAACTGGTGATATTAGAGAAACTCGTTGCCCTCCCATAGAGACAAGTGAAATTGCAGATATGCTTTTAACTTAATCACAATTCCATTCTTGTAACTATATATGTATTTTTCAAGGGACTTATTTTTAACCTAAAAATATCTCAAGAAGCCAATATGCTTACTGAAGTTTGAAGCTTACCTTAAATTCTCCAGGAGCCAGATGGGTCCCAGTGAGCAGCACTTCAGGAAACACATAATTAGTGTTAAATGAGCCACTGAGGGAAAAGAAGTTGAACCTGGTAGCAGCGGTATCAACTCGCTGGCCACACGATTTCAGATCTGTGCTGTTACACTTCAGTAGTGTGCAGATCTACAGTAAGAGGGAAAGAAAGGCTTATATGGAACCAGGTCATCCAGAATTATAAGAAAAACAGCCAACAGCTGGAACAAGCTACACTACTACTAAATATTTATGTATTAAAATTGTTTTTACTTCCCTTCCTTCACCTGAAAAGATTCCGAGAGGGATTTATACAAGCTCAAGCAATGTAGGACAGTATACGTTCAGAAGGTTGCAAAAGACTAGAAGGAAAAGAGCGGAAGAACAAAGAAGAAAGCAGACCCCTTGGCACTAGGTCCTTCAATATTATTTTGTAATCTGTCCTTTAAAAAATTCTTGGCATACCACTCTAGCAAGCCTTTTCAGGATCCTCTGACTCTTTCAGATATCATGAAGCTGTTGTAAATAGTTCATATTTTATTTCAGTCTTTTACCTAAAAAAGATTTGTCCTATGAGAAGTGTCATACATCATTCTTCTATAATAATCTCATAGAAGGGTTCTGACTGAAATATGGAAAAAAGATGGAAGAACAGTCTTTTTTTGTCTGTGTGTATCCCTGATGGCTTTGTCACACTGAATGTAGAAAATACTTTTTCACACAGATCAAGGCCAGCCCTATCCTTAGGCAATGAAGCAGATGCTTCAGGCATCAGATACTGAAGCTGAATGACAAAGCTATATATGTGCCATGTGGCCTTTGTTGCACTTTCTAAATAGCCTGCTGCCCTCCAGTGTGGTGAAAGATGCCAGTAAGAAGGACAGTTTAGCTGGAAATCTAGTTGTTGGTGAAATGAGCCATCAGCTTTGCTTTAGGCAGAACAATATCCTGGCCAGTTCAGATATGGATCTCTGTTATGCTCCCTTCCATAAAAGAATGTTCCACAACTCACCACACCTCATTGAGTCTTTTACCTGCAAATAATATTCTCCTTCAATCATGTGAAGCCCATCAAAAACACCCAAAGCATAAACTTCATCCTCTTGCTTTTCCGCCATAATGTAGCTTAAATAACAGCAGACGTTTTTCTGGCAGACAGTATAGTTTCCTGCTTCTTGTGATAGCTCCGTGAAGGTGAAATTATCAAAATAGATACTGCTGTTAAATACTGGGCTCTGCGGTGAGAAATGTTCAAGGGTTGATGCATACAAGCTCCAGTTGAAAGGGGGAGGATAGGTGGGGGAAAGATGGGGATGTGTGTCAATTTCTGCAAGCAAAAGTTTGCCATTCTGGGTTTCCATATCAAAGTGATACGCCTTTGGGCCATTGGGTGTAAAAATGCCACTCCCTGTGGAAGACAAAAGAGACAGACTGAGATCTGTTGATTGCTGTGCCGGAATGAACTGTGTAGTAGATCACAACTGTAAGGAAGCTACTTGGACTGCAGCTTTTCAACTTCATGCCAGAAGCTGGTCTATGAAAAGTTTGCAGAACCTGAAACAAACTGAGATTCATCACTGGGGAGTGAATATAAGAGGGCTGGATTTGAACATGGATGATCCAGAATTCAAATCTTGCTCAATTCAGAAATCTACCTTCTTAAACAACTACTCAGCTTCATACTGCAGCTAAAGGGGCTGCTTGGTATTCCTCAGAGAAAGAATAGCAAAAGGAATACAGATAGTCCTCATTGACTGCAACTGGGACTGGCAACTCCATCGCTAAGGCGATCCAGTTGTAAAGTGAAACATCACTTGGCCATGCCGACTTATGTCATTTCATCAGTTCCAGCTGCAGTCATTAAGTGAATCCCACCTAGTCATTAGGCATGATGTCATGTGATCGCCATTTGCAACCTCCCGCCAGCTTCCCTATTGACTTTGCTTGTGGGAAGCCAACAAAGAAGGTCATAAATGGCAATCATGTGACCGTGGTTCCCTGCGACATTGTAATTGCGAGCTGGTTGCCAAGCAGCCAAATCGCAATCCTGTGACTGAGGGAAGCTGTGATGGTCACAAGTTCGAGGATTGGTCATAAGTCTCCTTTCTCAGTGCTGTTGTAACTTCAAATGGTTGCTGAATGAGCAGCTGGTAAGCGAGGACTATCTGTAATCAAATGCACCCAGTCTTGCCTTTGAAGAAAGCACTTGTGAATCTTTCCCACATATCCAAATGAATGCAGAAAGTCACAAGAACTATCTGGGGAGCAATAATTTCAGATGACTCAGAAATGCATGCAGCCACAGACTTCGGGGAACAGCAGATTTATGCTAGGTTCAACAATGATGTAGTTTAGCATGGGATACATTTTTGTCAGCTTTTTATTCTTCTAGAGTAATGAAAAAAATTGAATATTCCATAAGCGTTTAAAAAGTTAATTTTTTGTCCATCTAATTTCTTGCTCCACAGATCTATCCAGTCCCTGAACTCATTTTCATGGCCCTTATAGCCTCCTCTAATTGCATCACTGAATTTCATCACTGCCACTGTTAAAAATCAGAAGCACAGTTTCTCCAGAAGTTCTACATTTTGTTATAGGAACTATACACAATGCATCTTCATAATAAATAACGCTCTGCACAGAAAGTCCTAGACCTTTCCATCTTTGTGTGACACCTCTTTATATGTTTATGTAAATGCCCCACCTAAGACAATATGCTCCACCTAGGGCAAATAATGAACTATGATCTGGAGCCAACAGGAGGTTGTTTATCCCTGGATGACTGAATTGCTTTAAAGAGAGGATTATGAATCTCAAAGGATTTTGAAGTATCACACCAAAATCACCTTGGCGCATTCATAATTTAGATGTTGGCTATGGCATGTTTCAAGTGCAATTATTTAACCATCAGGCAGCATTTCTATAAAACACAAGTCAATTTAAACTAGATTTCGTCCAGCCCCTCCCACTCTGTGTTCCTTTAGCTTTGTCCCCATTGTGCTGACTCACTTCCCCCTTTGTTCTTTAGATTCCGTCAGCATTGTCTCCATAGCAGTATTCTGAGTCACTTCTAAATTGCTATTTTCCCATTTATGTCATGCTCTATGTCATGCCACCTCTTCCACATAGTTCCACATGTCATATCACATAGGATACATTTGATTTCTAAGGTATTCTTCCACTTTCTGTCTTGTATTAATATATTCGCATGCAACAAAGAATGTAAGAACAACTCAAAGGTACATCGTAGTGTCTTTATGCAGCGCCCTGCATGAAACTGGCCAAATAGAAAAGAAATAAATAGCTTCTGTTCAGTTTTTAACACATGTGATGCAGTTCCCTATGACTATTTCTGAATTACAAAAAGATGCAGAAATCCAAAATGCTCATCACCAATCATACATTAATTTTGTTTCTCATTGTGTTTCCCTGTACGATATGTGGACTCATTTTACACATCTTGGTAAGCCTTAATAAATCACAGCAGTTGGATAGATTCACATTGCATGCTAAGCCATGAACTATGGTTTCAAACCACTATGGCTGAGTGTACACAACATGTAAAGTAAGACCAAACAAACCACCTTATGGCTTTCTGTGAGGTGCAAAGCCAGTTATTAGTATGCATTCATTCATATGCACATTAAGATCTAATCTTAAACCAAGTATATAAAGATTGTAATTACCCGTAATGTCCAAGCTGGGCCTATGTATATTAGCCGCAAGGATGTTCACACGCATTCCCATTGCCCAGGCTGAGTAATATTGAACAGCAGACAAAAGGGGTAGAGTATTTAACCAAGCAGTTGGGAAGAGGATAGTGTCCACCTTGAACTTTTCCACCAGAGATACAGCAGGTTCACGGAAGTTAAGCATATCAGCACAAGTGAAAACACCAAACTTCCCAAAGGAGGTGTTGAAGTTAATGAACTGCGGCTCCTTCGCAAAATTGAAGTGGACTTCCGAGGCAAAAAGGTTGTACTGTTTATAAAAAAGGGAGGGGGGGACACAATTTATATTTTTGGAAGAAAATTATTCCAGCAAAAACAGGGAAAAACACATTTGATGCTGATACATGTGCTATTTTCTAGTAGATATTCATTTATCATTGCTTTTCTTTACAATGTTATAAAAGACACAATAAGTGAAAACAAAGGTCTAGATAACAACTGGATTTTATGTTTTCAAAACAGGAAGATCAACCACTGCGTGTTTCTTTGTCTAGTAGCGCTTGGGGCAGTCCCTGCTTCCTGAAGCTCTTATTTGTTTGGAAGACTCAGGGGAGAGTACATTTTTCTTTTAATTCAATACAGCAGCATTACTTTATCTTTTCTACCGTGTTTATACAGAGGACTATCTGACTGATAGGACTATCATATTTAGATGGCAACAAATGGACATTACAACATTTGAAGCCTAGATAAGTAGCTTTAGTAGTTACCTTGTGATAACGTGCCACAAACTTTCCTTCTGAATCATAAACAACATTGGTATTGTATTGATAGCGACCATCACTGGGACACTGAGGATCACTAGAATTACATGGCTTCTTGTCCCCCATGTTGGCAACCACATAGATGCCATAGTTCTTTGCCATGCAGCTAAGTCTTTTCTGCACTGGGTTAAATCCAAACCTAGAATTGAAAGGAAGAATTTAATAATAAAGACAATCTAGGAACTACAAATCTGGTAGATTAATCACCAGTGCACAGATACTGGCTTGGGAAATGCATTCTTGCTGAGCTGGACCAAGGAAGGACGGAAGGGAGGGAGGGAGGGAGGGAAATGCTGGTTGATTCGAGAAAAGTCAGCAGGATAGATGATAAAAACAACACTGTGCCATCATGATGCAAGTTTTGCCGCTTTTGCATGTGCACTGTGAAGTTGCATGCCTGGATCAAAGGGATAGAGCTTGTATCATGCCACTGCCATGCTGATTTCATCCTTCTGATGAAAGCCTCCAATTCTGCAGATCCCTCTATTCAGAAGTATCAACAGCTTTAGAGAGATCTTTCTTAGTAATGGAGCAAAGAGCATGATTTCAAGGAAATCACTAAGCAACAGTGATATACCGATCTTACTATTCATACTATTCTAGCCAGTGGTGGCTAGAAATGTGACACCAAAAGAAGTGGCAAGCATATTGTCTGTGGCTGATTCACATTTTGTGTAACTGTCTCTTCGTAATATATAAAGATTGGGGCTTGTGCATTCTTTTACAGTGCATATACAATGTATTATATAAATTGACACAAATGAGATTTGCATATCTATGCCATCTATATCTGTATCTGAATCACACATCATGCACCCCGTTTACTTCTTTTTTGTAACAAGTAAATACTGGAAGCAGGACATACTTGTAAGCACAGAGAGCCTAAAGCAGTCTTCGCCAGTGTGGTCCAACTTAGTCTGCCAGACGTCCCAGATCAGCAATTCTTAGAATTTCTAGTCAGGCTGTACTGATGGGGGAATTCTGAGAGTTGCAAGACCCACACTTCTGGTTGACGCTTGGTCAGAAAAGCCTGGCCTAAAGTCAGGTCACAGAGCTGCAGGGTTAACTAGTGTTATGACATCCCTGACAGCCCTAAGACAGAACTGGCTGTAACCTTGGTTATAAACTTTCATCCAAGCTCCTAAAATTCAGCTACTCATCTTTCATTAAAGTGACTCAGTTGGGTGCAACATTTTACTTGAAAATTATAAATAAAGCAACAATTCAGTATTTCCTTGTGCTGGAGCTGACTTGCACCAGCTTTCTGGAATTTTGCCAGCCCATTGAGCACAGAGCTGAGCCACGACATCCTAGTGCACCAATCAGCTGTTCCACAGTTAGAGGCATAGCGGTAATGGAGCCGGCAAAGCTGGTTCTTAAACGTTCAGCAGCACACCATTGACTGTAAGTGGCTGACAATGCAATACAGGGAATATCTATTAATATCTGCTGTGGTGCCACTGTGACCTTTGATTAATAAAGTGACTCATATTCACTGAACTCTTGACTGTGCATGCGTAGGGATTTGTTTTGGCCTGTGAACTCTGATGAGACAGGTAGGATGTTCTCTGATGTGAGCTGTGGATACATGCTCCTTCTAGCTTTTTTGGGTAGCTGGATCCAGGACGAAAGGAGATCATATTGGTCATCACCTTGAAGGAGGCATTGGATTGGCCCCTGCTGAAGAGACTTTCCCTGGATTCAACTATACTGGACAACTACTGCCCTGGCTCCACCCTACATTTTTTTTTAGGAAAGGCTGCTGAAAAAGTGGTATGACTTCAATTACAGATGCGGTAGAGGAAATGGATTATCTGGACTCCTTACAGGTCATGGTTCAGGCCAGGGCATCAGATGGAAAGGGGATTAGTTGCTCTGGTGGATGACTTTTTTTTCAAGACCTGGACTGGGGGAATATGCCCTTTCTACCATTGACCGTGGGATCCTTCTGGATTGCCTACAAGGGTTAGGGGTAGAGAGTATTGTTCTACAATTATTCTGATCCTTTCTAAGTAGGTGACACCAGCTAGTGGGTGGCAGGGAACAGAGGTCAGCTCAGTGAACCCAGCACTGCAAGGATGGCTCCTCTCACCCCTACTTTTTAACTTCTGCATGAGATTGCTGGGAGAGATAACCCATTGCTTTGGATTGAAGCAGTGGTGGAGAGAATAATGAAGATGACCTTGATGGAGATATGCAGAAGCTGTTGCTTAGGCAAAAGGGGCTGAAATATTTTTAGCCAAAATGTCCAGATAATATATGAAAGTTGCTTAGACATTTGCCTCTCCCCCACCATCCACTGGAGTGTCAGAAGGGGGAGGTGGTACAGCCCAATTTGATTTGCAAGATTCTGTTATTATACCCAATCTCAATAAAAGTAACCTTAGCTTTCCTGTTACTATTGCCTCACTTATTTTATTAGTACATTTCATGGTGTGGTCCACCTAGTAGGACTGACATGTATGTTGATGATACCCATATATTTCCACCCAGAGCCAGTCCATAAATGCAGTGGACTCTTGATCTGGTGTCTACAGGCTATGAGGGCTTGGATGGGACTAAAACAGGCTGAGGTTGGATCCTACCAAGACAGAATTGCTGTTTGTCCAGAAAACAATTTAGCTCTCTGTCTGTTTTGGTCATAACACTGGGATGGGACATCACTTGTCCCGAGGAGAAGAACTTGATTTTTATAGAGAATCACATTCTCAGATATACAGAAGCGCAGTAAACTAAGGAATTCATCATGACTATATGACATGGGGAAAGCTGCTGCCATACTACCACCTAGTGACAGAAATCTGGGAGACAGGTTTACAACTGTTTATCAGTTCAATCTGGTACAATATTTCTAGAACTCTATAATTCTCAGCATAAGCTAATGAAAGAAATCTGCAAAATGTTCATAAACATTTGTTCTCAGAGACTTCATTCTTTAATATGGTGATATACTTCCCAGTGAATGTTCTTAAGAACCCAGCTTTAATATATTTTAATACAGAAATGTATTATCATTATTTTTTGTTTAAAAAGATGAGAATCCAGATTTCACAGAGTCACTTGCAAAAGAAACTGCCTCACTTATTTTATCAGTATTTCCTAATTGCATTGGCAACTTTACTCAAATAAAATGCAAGAAACCCATAATAAAACACTGCATATATATCTGGTTACATATCAGGTAAATAAAATTGTGTGGCTATTCTTAATTATCCAACCAGTGGTAACTCTGTCCTTACAGTGACAAATACAGATTGGAATCTCTGTTGTGTACATACAAGAGCATTAGAAAAACCCATTATGACTTCACCATAAGAATGGAGAAGTGTGCTTGCTGAGACTCATTACACTACTTTGTGTACAGAACGTCAGGGAGATTCTACTTAGACTTGATGAGGTTACCTTTCTGGATCGTTGCATGGAGTCCAGTTTACTTCGGGATCTGGTATATCCTCAAGATAAGGATAAAGTGTTTCCCGAGTAAAGACCCACCCATAAATGCCATCTTCAGGAGTCACAATGATGCGGGCACCCTAAAAAAAGAAAGAAAACAATGCCAGTTCAAATAATAGATTCCACTGCTTCCAAGAACAAAGACAATAGAAGGTGACTATCCTTGCATCTGTTGTACCTGTTCAGCAGCTGTTTTGATGGCTTCTTCTAAGATGTCTAAATTTCTGTTCATTAGGCTCAAGGCTTCTTCTGGAGAGACAAGTTTTGGGGTGGCTCCTGTAAGTATAACAGCATGCTCATAGACAGCAGCAAGGTAGGTTTCCACAGCAGAAGCCCCAAGAATAGCTCCAGTCAGAAAGATAGCCCAAAGATGAGGCTGGAAGACAGCCATGCTTACAGAGCCTAATTCTGGCTCAGAATGAAACCAAATGGGAGGTCCACTTGGGTTAACAAGAAGGTAGGGAGGGATTTATTTAGTGCATGAATTTTCCTGTTACATAACCAGCTACAGGACAGGAAGAGTATATTGTGAAACATCATGATTACCACATTCTACCAAGAATGTTTCCTGAAGGTAGAATTATCTTTGTTAATAAAATAAACAAACATGAAGCTAAAATATACATGGTCGTTCCTGCTAAGGTAAATCCAGGGAATGCTTAGGAAGGATTGAAAGAAATGTATGAGAAGAGACAGAAACATCGTTGAGGCAACCTGAAATTAAGTCAGCCCGGCCTACCTGATAGTTTTAAGGAATAGCTGGGGAATTCCCTGAACCTGGCTGTACATTCAGGTTTTACTTGGTAGAAAAAGTCAATCAATTACCTTCTATTTCACAATCAGATCATAAGCACATTGTTTCCTATAGAATCAACAAAGAGTGGGGCCTGTTAAGCCAGTACAGCTTAGAGTTTAGTAGATGCAGGGGGCACTTAAACTTCCCTACAACCATCTCTCCAAGGTCACTTCTTTGTGGGAAGAGGTCCCATTTAGGTTTAAGCAATAGCAATGTTCATTCATCCTTCAGGGAAAAAGTAAATGTGTCACATTCATAAAAACCTGCTCACTGCTGTTGATCTTTAATAGAGAGAACTGCTCCAGATCTTCTGACAATACAGTCCTTTCCTCCCAACCCCATGGCAAAGCAATAGCTAATTTGTTAATTAATAATCATAAAACCCCATCAGGAAAAGAAAACTGTTAACAATTCCATGTTCTGGAATTTCATTATCAGATTCTCCCCACATGCTGACCTTTCTTTGATTTGAAGGTGGTTCAATCATTTCAATTTGCCAGCCTGGAAAGGGGGAAGTACAAATAGCTATATTATGTTATTGAGGAAATGTTACAAGCAGGCGTAATATATTTAAGGAACCTCAGTTCTTACATGTAGCCTCACCATATATCCTGATTTGACTGAGATTGCCCCAGTTTGGTGCTCAAGTTTGGGCATCCCAGCCACTTTACAACTTGCTCCCTCTTTTGCTGACATGTTCCTTTTTTGTGGTTTACTGTTCTATGTAAACTGGGCAACCGTGGCTTATTCAACAAATCACAATTAATAAGCTTGACTTAGCATCGCTCATTTATATGCAGGTAACCCACCAGTAGATTCCGGATAGTGTACAGGAGAGTAAAAAATAAATAAATTAAAAAATTAAAAAATGCAACAATTGTTTTCAAGAACAAAATACAAAAAGAATTATCTTATTGTTTTCAAGAAGAAAATACCAAAAAAACAAACAAACAAAACACCACACCCAACTTCTGAGTATGATGGGTGCCATAAAGCAATCAACTCTGCTTGAAAGCTTGGCAGAACAAAATTGTTTTCACTGCCTTATAGCAGTATTTCACAACCTCAACAACTTTAAGATGTGTAGACTTAAATTCCCTGGTGGGTTGGCATAGTTAGTTGGCAAGCTTGGTTTCTCTTAAGAAGAAGTCTTTTACTGATTTTGGTGGGGTGCCAATCTGGCTTCAGTGACAAAAATCCTAATTGGCTGGGTAAATCTAATTCATGAAGAGGCAAACTTTAGAGAAGGCAAGTCTCTTTGTAGATCTTGCCAAGGTCTACCACAAAGAGACACCTGATGATACCAGTTACAAAGTGCTGGTGGTTCCAGGATCCAGTGGCTTTCAGC